CCCCGGGGGCGCAGCGCTTGAGCGCTGGGCTGTGAAGCTGCCCGCAGCCTCTGCGGTGCCGGCCACCCGGCACCGGCTGCTCCCCGGCCACCGGAGGAGGGTCCCGCATGGCGCGCAGACCTCTCCTGCCGCCCGCTGCTCCCCTCAGCAGTGTCCTTCGGTCCTTCTGCCTGCTCTGCTCCCCGCTCTGGCTCTGGTGAATTCTCTCACCCTCCCGCGCTTCTGACTGTACCCAGTGCTTGTATAAATAAATAAATAAATCTTTAAAAAAAAATAATGCGTAAGAACAAGAAATGTTTAAAATAGTAGACACGGTACAAGAGCGGACATGTTACGTGTTCCACCTAATGGGATATGAGACCCCGAAAGCAATGGCTCTAACTACTACAGGGGCCAGGAAACTCTCTTCAGATACCAGAAACATGTCCTGACTCTGTGCCTGTGGCGCATGATGCAAATTTATTTTTAAAAGATCTGTGACACTCGGACCCGTGACGCCGAATAGCAAGAGCGGCAGGACCCTGGACGGTCTTGTCGCCGTCGTCATTTCCGGTAGATCTCGAAGCGCGTTTCTTGTAACAGTCCCATGCAAGTCCGCGTCAGGAAACAAGCTCCAGGCCCAGAGGATCTAACGCGCTCCATTCTTTGACTGCAGTGAACGTGGCAGCGTCGGGCTCCGGACAGCCAAGGTGTCGGCAGAGTCCCTGCGTGTTTGACGACACCGGGAACGCCCCTGGGCAGAGATGGCTCAGGCGCTGCGAGGCAGGGGCGGGGCTGCCGGACCCTCCAGGGCCGCGCCGTGTGGCGCCTGCGCCCCGCTCGGGTGCGCGGGGTGCTCTCCTCGCGGGGTGCTCTCCTGCATGTGAGCCTCCCTCCGTGCCCACGGTCTCGTTCCCGCCCGGGGCCCCTCCCTGCGCCTGGGGGCCGTGACGAGGAGGGCAAGACGCCTGGCCCCAGGGGTCTGCGTGCGCCCGGCCCCCGCAGGAGTCAGCAGGGACGCCAGCGCGGCTCTCGCCCTGAGGCTGCCCACCGCTGCCCAGGGACTAGAGCGGCACCGAGCCCGCCCTGGTCTGGCCGTCTCCTGCCAGAGCGTGTGGTCTGCTCATCACCCCCTGCCCCCGTGCAACCTGTCGGAGACCCCTCGGGCTCGGGGAGAGGACGGCGGGCCTCAGGGTGTCCTCTGCTGGGATGACTCACGCCCCCCTCCACCCTCGTGGCTTCTTGGGCTTCCCGGGCCTGGCGGAGTCCCTGGGCCCTGGTCACGGCAGGTGGGCCCAGCTGGGCGCGGGAGCTGGGTGCAGCCCAGGCAGCAGGCGCCCGCGGACCCGGGGGAGGCCCAGGGCCGGCAGCGCCTCCCGGGTCATTTCGGTGCGGCCATCTCTGAGCCCCGCTCAGCTCGCGTTACCACACGTCATCACTTACACCTCGGGCTGCTGTCGGCCACGCGGCTCCAGTTCTGAGAAAACGGAAGCAAAGCCGGCCAGGCTGGGGGCTGACGCTGGGCTCTGGTTCTGGAGGCCCAGGCCTGCGTCCCACCTGCTGATTCGGGGCCTGTGGTTTACCTGTGAGCAGATTCTAGAAGCTTCCTTCCAGCCTTTGGGGTGACCTGGCGGTTCCTGGCCCTGAGTCAGGGCTGGCTGGTCCTGGCTCTGGTCCAGCCGGTCCCAGGAGGCCCTGCTGCACGTCAGCTGTGCCCCGCTCTCGTGGGTCTGCCGCGAAGAGCCACCTTTCCTGCCCGCCTTGGCCCTGCCGCTTGGACAGGACCAGTGTGCAGACACTCATGACGCGGGGCCTGCGCTGGGGCCCATCCCACCATTCATGCTGCCACCTCTGCAGGCCTCCCAGGTCCCGGGGGGTCACCACGTGGGGCCCTGGGGGGTCTCCGACGAGCCCCTGCAAGAGATTTGCCTTCTCATGATACGGGCCCTGCCTTCTCGTTACACAGACTCCACCACCCGAGCCACGGAAACCAGGTCAGCAAGAACGGGACACCTGTGGGGGTGCCACCTAAGAGCCCAACGGGGAGCTCGTGTCCTCTGGGGTGGCAGAGGCCACGCATCGCCATGGCAACCAGGGGCTGGCCTGCCGGGTCCCCTGCCCAGCCGCGTGGCCGCCTGCGGTCACCTGGGTCTCTGAGGTTCCTGTCTCGGCCCGTAGGGCTGACCATGGCCCCCGGGGCTGTGCCCTCCTGAGCTGGCGGGCCTGGTCCAGCCCCTCGGATGCCCCAGGAGCCACCTCATTGCCACGCAAGTCTCGGGGGGGGGGCGCTTCAGTGACTAGGGGCAGCACGAGGAGAGGACAGCGAAGCTCCGTGGGGACGACCCAAGCACGGCCGTGAGGGGGCTCCGGGCAGATGGACAGGGAAGACGGCAGGCTGGCGGCCAGCGGGAAGGCTCGAGCCACGTCCCGGGGGTCCCGGCCCACGCCCATGGACGGCAGATGGCGAAGGAGCCGTCGCGGCCCCGCCCGTCTCTGCTCCCGCCTGAGGCAGCCACCGGAGCGGCTCACCCAGGGCCTCGCTTGGAGCTCACAGCCAGAATGGGGTGCACCTGGGCTCGGCCTCCTCCCGAAGGCAGCCACGCTCTGGGTCAGCCCTGTCAGATTTCCCAGCAGGCAGCGCGGCGGCTGCAAACACCCCCGACCTTCGAGATGACAGCAGCCCTGGGCCGCGGGGAGGGCAGGCCCACGAGGGCGCCGTGCCGGCTACGCGGGGCTGAGCCCGGGCAGAGGGGCGGCCGCCGAGCGCGCTCAGGCCCTGGGCCCTCCACCCGAGAGCAGGTCGGCGGGCGCTGGGCAGGGAAGGTCGCGATGCTTTCCCTGGAGGGAGACAGAGCGCCCCGAAGCCGCGGACGCTGGACCTGGGGCAGGGGCCGGCGCTCCGCCACCCGGCGCAGGAAGCTGGGCTGCACCCGTCCTCGAAAGGGCTCTCCCAGCAGACACCGCCCGGCCGACCGCCCAGGGCGCGGGCAGGTTTGCTCAGGCTGGTGGCGCCGTCCTCACGGTGCTCGCCCCGCCAGCCTCCCACCAGTGCCCACGCACACCACACGCGCACCACATTCGCCACACACGCCATACACTACACACACCACACACACCACACACACCACACACCACACACACACCACACACACACCACACACTACACACACCACACACGCCACACACACCACACACACACCACATATGCCACACACACCACACACACACCACACACGCCACACACACACCACACACACCACATATGCCACACACACCACACACACACCACATACGCCACACACACCACACACGCCACACACACCACACACACACCACATACACTACACATACATTACACACACCACACACACCACATATGCCACACACCACACACATACCATACATGCCACACACACCACATACACACACGCACCACACACACACACACCACACACACGACACACACACACAAGGAAAGCTCCAGGCGTGTCCGCAGCCCGGCGCCCTCCACGCGGCGGTGTCTCCAACACAGGGAAGCGACTCCAGCCGGGCCGGGAGCTCCAGCGCCGCGCCGGGGGCCCTTCGAGCCGGGGCCCTTCGAGCCGGGGCCCTGCGAGCGGCCCCCCTGGGGGCGCAGGGGGGGCGGCGCGGCGGCAGCGGGGCGTCCCTGGCCGGGTGGGGCTGCGGATGCCCGGGCTGGGCCGGAGCTCGCGGGGGCGGGGGCGCAGGCGAGGGGCGGACGGAGGGGCGCGGGGGCCGCTGCGGCCCAGGCGAGGGGCCCGCCGGAGCCCCGGGAGCCCCGGGCGCACGCGCCGAGGCGGCCTCGCCCGCGGGGTGGGCCCGACCCTGCCGGCCGGGGGGGGGCGGGGTGGGGGGGGGGGGTGGGGTGGGGGTGCGAGCAGCTCCGCCCCAGCGAGACCCCCGCGTCGCCCGAGGGGCCTCCGAGGGCTCCCATGGCCGTTTGGGGGTCCGTGCCCGACGCGGGGCCTGGCGCCCACGTCCCAACGGGGCAGCCTCGGCAGCCGCCCCGAGCGAGCCCCGGGGGGGGGCCGGCGGGGGCCGCGCCGGACGCGGGGCTGAGCGGCCCGCGGCGCCCGCGGAGCCCGGCAGGGGGCGCGCGCCCGCGGGAGGCGGCCGGGTGGGCGGGCCTCGGCGGCCGGCTCCCTGACGTCACCGTCGCGGTCGCCAGGGCGACGGCCTCGCCGGCGCGCGCGTCAGAGCCGCCCGTCTCTTGGCAACCGCCCGATCTCCCGCGCTCCCTCCGCCTGGCGCTCGGCCGCGCGTCGCTCTGGCGTCAAAGCGACGTCAATGGGCCCGGCCGCGCGGGGCGGGGGCGGGGGCGGGGCGGGGCGCGCGGCGCGGGGCGGGCGGGCCGGGGCGGGCCGGGGCGGGGCCGGGGCGCGTGCGGCCGGAGCGCGGCGCGGGCCCGGGGCTGACATGCGGCGCGGCCCGGGCGGCGGCAGCAGCGGCGGCGGCGACCCGAGCGGCAGGCGCCCGAGCAGCGCGAGCGGCCGAGCGGGCGGCGGGGCCCGCGGGGCGAGCGGCGTCCCGGCCCCGGCGCTCCGAGCGCGGCGGGGGCGAGCGGCGGGCGGCGGGCGCAGGTGCGCGGGGGCGCCCGGCCGGGCCGCCCTTTGTGTGGGCGCGGGGGGCGCGGGGGGCGCGCGGGGCGCGGGGGGGCCGCCCGGCTGGCGGCGGAGCGGGGCGCGCGTTCCGACGGGCCCGACGCGGCGGCGGCGTGACCGGGCGGCGGGGCGCGGGCCGGGCCGGGTGGACGGAACCGGCTGCGGGCGGCGGGGCGGGGGCGCGGGGGGCGCGGGGGGCGCGGGGGCCGGGGCGCGGGGGGGGGCGCCGCGCGGCCTGCGGGCCCTGGGGGTCCGGTTCGGGGCGGCGGGCAGCGCGGGGCGGGGCTCGCGGCGGGCCGGGGCCGGGGCCGGGGCGGGGGGCGGCGCGCGGGGCGGGGGGCGCGGCGGGCGGGGGGCAGCGCTGAGCACCCCGCGGCCCCGCAGGCGCGGCGCGGAGCCATGGTGATCATGTCGGAGTTCGGCGCGGCGCCCGCGGGCCAGGGCCTGGGCCAGCAGAAGCCGCTGCGCGTGGGCTTCTACGACGTGGAGCGCACCCTGGGCAAGGGCAACTTCGCCGTCGTGAAGCTGGCGCGGCACCGAGTCACCAAAACCCAGGTGCGTGGGCGCCGCGGACCGCCGGGCAGCCGGGTGGACCCCGGGCCCTGGCTCAGCGCGTCATGCTAAGTTTTTAGCTCAGCTGGAGAAAAAGCTTTATTTCTGCATGATTTGGGCAAACGCTCCGGGGCAGTAAGGCGGGTAACAACCGGAATAACCCGGGAGCCGGCCCGGCTGTCAGCGGGCCAGCCGGACGGGGCATTCCTCTAACTTTGACTATTTTAAGTAACGTTAATGGTTACTTTGGCTATTTTTTCCTCCAACTTTTTGTGACCTTTTGTGGACATAGAGCATTTTAGAAATTAACCTGCAAAGCTGGAAAATGGTACATTAGGTGAAGGGAGGGTTTTTCTTTGCCGAGAAAATATTCTTTACAAGTATTCCTTCCCTGTGAAATCTGCAGGTTGCAATAAAAATAATCGATAAGACACGCTTAGATTCAAGTAACTTGGAGAAAATCTATCGGGAGGTTCAAATCATGAAGCTTTTGAATCACCCACACATCATAAAGCTCTACCAGGTAAGCGCATAATCCTGGCATGTCTGCCGTTTTTATCCCCAGCAGCGGAAGTTGCAGTGTCTGAGGGCCGTCCTTTTTGGGGTGTATGTGGGAGTCAGGGAGTTGGCAGTATAAGATAAATAGATTTTTTTTAAGCTGTGCAAATGTGTTTACAATTATTTCTGCGCTTTTGGGCCATGAGGATTGAGAATTGTCTCGTTAAAATTTTGTTAAGTATTGTGATCACTTCTACTTTCAAATACACGGAGGCCGGTGGCTACGTTTACTTAACTTTGAAAACAAACAGATGCACGTATTGTCATGAGCCAGGCGCTTGGTATAGAAAATCAGATTTGGGCAAAAGGAGACCCTTCACGCCTTTGCAGATAATTATTAAACTTTAAAACCAGCTGCTCTGGCCAGTCTTTGTGAACTTACCTTGCAAAAAGACAGCGGCGGGCACTCGCCTTGGCTCAACTCTTCCATGCAGAATGGAGGTGAAACCCCCCCCCTGCCCCGGGGGAGCGGGCACGTGGCGGTCACTCCTCCTGAGAACGCCCCTCGCCCTGTGTCCGTGGGCTTTTTGGTGACGGCGCTTTTGTTCTGGTGTTGACACTAATAGGTTGTGTCTTTGGAGTGAAGTGCTGGTTCGATCTGGGCAGTTAAAGCCTCGCCCCTCCTCCCGCGAACGTGAAATCCGTCTGCTCCCTGGGACTCCCTCCTGCTGTTGGGGTCGAAGTTCCTTTCCTGCCTCTCACGGCCCCATGGGGTGTGTGTGCGTGCGCGGTGCTGACACCCCGTGTGGAGTGACGGCAGTGGTGCGAGGGGCTGCGGCTGCGTGCCTGGGGACAGCTCACTCAGCGCCTCTGGCCCTCGGGTCGTGCTCCAGACAGTGGTCGCTTTTGAGCAGAGCTGCGGGTGCGGGGTTCCTCGTGGCTGGCGTGTCTGAGAAGTCACATGGCCTATTTGGCAGGCGCTGCTGAGCAGGCCTGGTGCCTGGTGTGGCTAGGTGGGCGGCTTTTCTTGCTCCATGGTGGTGGCCGCGCGGGCTCCTGCCCCAATGGTCACTATTCTGGGCGTCTCTCACCGGAGACTTGCCCGTAGCTGAGCCCGGCCCTCCGCTTCCCAAAGGGCCCATGGTGGGTTTGTGGGCCCTGGCCCTGCCCGGACCCGCCAGATGTGAGCGCTCTCTGAGCTTTCTCACCGCAGCTGCGGGCCCTGCGATGTCTCCCGGGTCAGCCGTGGCGGGAGGGCCAGCGGTCTCCCTCTCAGGGGAAGGCTGGTGCGGGTCCCAGCCACCCCGCAGGGTGCCCGCGGCCTCGAGAGGCCCTCCCCGCAGCTTGCCACCACTCAGGGGTCTGTCTCGGATGGCACCGTTGGAGCCCGGGAAAGTGTTTCCCTCTAAGAATACGTTGCGGCTCTGTCTCTAAACTGTTGTAAACGCGCGTTCTTTCCATGCCGCAGACGTGGGTTTTACCTCGTCTCCTAGCGAGTTATAAATGCTGTAAAAAAAGGTCTTCAAAGTAAAACCAAGTTCTCGATCACTAAGTGAGCCTGGGAGGCGTATTTGACATGGGCTGCCGCTGTTGACACACCTGAGGAGTCAGCTCTTCCTGCTCGCCTAGCAGAGCCGGCCAGACCTTGGGCCCAGGTGCTCGCTTCCCCGGCCGGGACTCACGGGCGGCGGCCTGCTGCTGGGCGCCTGGCCACTGGCTTGAGTCAGCTGCTGCTGGCGAGGCTTCTAGAAGCCCTAGTCCGGCCCCACCACTGGCTCTGAAGCCGCTGGCGCCCAGGTGGGCGAGCAGGGGTCCTGAGAGCGGCGCCAGGCGCGACTGCGCATTTTGCTTCACTGAGCAAGCGTCTGCCAGGGCGCGAGTCGGCGAGGGGCCCTCTGGCCGTCAGGGCCTTTTCTGAACTGCAGCCCCTCGTTGTCGCTTCCAGCGGTCTGCCCCCTTCCTTTCCTTCAGGAAGAGCGGCGGCGTCACCCTGGGAGGGCCAGAGCGCCCGGCCAGGGTCTCCGCGGCCCGCGTGCCTTCGTGCGGCTCAGCCCCTGTCTCTCTCCTCCCAGGTCATGGAGACGAAGGACATGCTCTACATCGTCACCGAGTTCGCCAAAAACGGAGAAATGTTTGGTAAGCTGCGCCTGCTTCTCGGGCCTGTTGAAAGCGGGGCCTAGCTTGGAGGGGCGTGGCTGGCCTGGTCCGCCGCTGCCTGACCCGTGGCCTCGCTCTGCCCCTCAGATTACCTGACTTCCCACGGGCACCTCAGCGAGGAGGAAGCGCGGAAGAAGTTCTGGCAGATCCTGTCGGCCGTGGAGTACTGCCACAGCCACCATGTCGTTCACCGGGACCTCAAGACCGAGAACCTGCTGCTGGATGCCAACATGGACATCAAGCTGGCAGGCAAGGGCCGTCCCGCGGGCCAGCCCTGGGGCCGCCACCCTGGCCTCCCGCTGAACTCCAGCGACTGTTGCCTTCCCTCTCAGATTTTGGATTCGGGAATTTCTACAAGTCGGGAGAGCCTCTGTCCACGTGGTGTGGGAGCCCCCCCTACGCAGCCCCCGAAGTCTTTGAGGGGAAGGAGTACGAAGGCCCCCAACTGGATGTCTGGGTAGGAGGCTGTGCCCGGGGTGGGGGTGGGGGGGCCGCGGCGGTGGTGAGGGTGAGTGGGGCTGACGCCCTCTGCCCCTGCAGAGCCTGGGCGTGGTGCTGTACGTGCTGGTCTGCGGCTCCCTGCCCTTCGATGGGCCCAGCCTGCCGGCGCTGCGGCAGCGGGTGCTGGAGGGCCGCTTCCGCATCCCCTTCTTCATGTCCCAAGGTGGGTGCCCTCCACTCGGGCCGTCGGGTCACCCGGGAGGGGAGTTTGGAGGAGGAGAGGAATTTACTTCCTGAATGGCCGGCTCGACCGTCCCTGCTGCTGGCTGAGTCAGCCCGGGCGCCGTGGCCTGTTCCCTAGATGCCTGCGGCCCGCACCCTTTCAGCGCCTGCTGGCGCGGGGCAGACGGGCGCTGCGCTCTGCGGGCCACAGGTCTGGTCTCTGGACCTCTGCCTGGCGTCAGCAGGAGCCCCCACCCCCGAGCCCACCATAGGCACTGAGGGGCTCTCTGTCCCCCCCGGTGGAGACACCCCACTCACTGGCGCGCGGGAGCCCTGAGCCCTGTGTGTGGCAGGCTCTAGGTGGCGCCTGCCTGGTGGCTTGTCCTGGCCTGGATGTCCTTGAAATGGCCAGTGTCTGGTGTGCGTGAGGGGCTGTGTCCCGCGGGGCTGTCTTGGGGACCAGGCTGCCCACGGGGACTCAGGGCGCCTCTCTCCACCCCAGACTGTGAGACGCTGATCCGCCGCATGCTGGTGCTGGACCCCGCCAAGCGCATCACCGTGGCCCAGATCCGCCAGCACAGGTGGATGCAGGCCGACCCCTCTGTGCCGCAGCTGGCCTGCCCGGCCCTCTCTGTGCTCAGCTGCGGCTCCAACCTGGGCGACTACGACGAGCAGGCGCTTGGCATCATGCAGGCCCTGGGCGTCGACCGGCAGAGGACTGTGGAGGTGGGTGCCCGTGCTCCCCGCCCCCGCCCCGCGCAGCTCGGTGTCCAGGCAGGCCTCGGCCGCCCGGTTAAAACGGGAGCGGGTCTAATTTAAGGGCCGTCCTCTCGGGTATTCTCGGCTGCCCCAGAATAGCCCCAGGAGGGGCCTGCTGGGCCTGGCGCTTGCTGGGAGTGGCCGTGGCGCCGCCCCACGCACACGGCTCTCTGTGCACGCTGACCGGCCCCGCCTCTCCCAGTCCCTGCAGAACAGCAGCTACAACCACTTTGCCGCCATTTACTACCTCCTCCTTGAGCGGCTGAAGGAGTATCGGGGCAGCCCACCAGGGGCCCGGCCCGGGCTGGCCAGGCAGCAGCGACCCCGGAGCTCCGACCTCAGCGGTTTCGAGGTGAGGGCTCGCGTGTTTCAGCCCTGGCGTGGCCCCCATCCCGCCCCTGTCCAGCGCGGGGCTTCACCTGTGAGCTGCCAACCAGCGCCCTGGAGAGGGTGGGGGTGCCACTTGTTCCCACGCCTGCCCAGGCCGGCCTCTTGGGGCTTCCCGGTCACCCCGCACCCCAGAGAGAGGCGTCTCTTGACGGCGATCATCCTCCTCTGCTGTCCCCAGGTGCCCTCAGAAGGCTTTCCTGGAGACGCTTTCCGATCTGCCCTGCTGTGCCCACAGCCCCAGACCCTGGGCCAGGCCGTCCTGCAGGCCGACATGGACTATGGCCTCCACGGCGCGCTGCAGGTGTGTGTGCGCCTGCCGGCAGGCCAGGCTAACATCCCTGGGGGCTGGCGCCAGGGCAGTGGTCTCCAGGAACCCCGGGAGTTAGACCCAGCATCTGTTCCCACAGCCCCTGCTCTTCCCCGTGGACGGCAGCTGCAGCGCAGGGCTCCGGCAGCGCCCCCTGTCGCCCAGCAGCCTGCTGGACACCGCCATCAGCGAGGAGGCCGGGCAGGGCGCAGGCCTGGAGGAGGAGCTGGAGGCGCCGGAGGAGCCCTTGCCTGGCAGCACCGGCCGGAGACACACCCTGGCCGAGGTCTCCGCCTGCTGCTCCCCGTGCGCCCCTCCCTGTGAGTGTCCCGGAGCGCGGCCTGGGGGTCACGGCGAAGGCTGGGCGGGCCCAGGCCGAGCCTGACTGGGACTCTCGGCGTCCTCCTGCGTGGAGTCTGCGCTGCTGTTTGTCTGAGCCCTGAGCCCCAGCCACACTGACGCGTCTGCTCGGTGGCGACGGGGCGCACGGGGTTGGCCACCCCAGGTGCCAGGCAAGGCAGGCCTTCACCGAGGCCCGGCGTCAGGGTCTGAGGCCCACCATCCGCTGCCAGCACAGCCCCCTGGTGGCCACTGCTGTCCAGGCTCCCTGGCCCTGGTGGCCTGTGGCCCTCCCTTCTCCCAGGGTTGGGGGTAGAGATGCGGAGGCTGGGAGAGCCAGCTGTCGGGGGTGTGGAGACGCCCCCCGGGGCTCGGGCAGCAGAGAGACCCAACCCTTCCGGGCAGAGAAACCTGGTGGATGGCGGCGGGAGGCCGTGCGTGCCTCAGGTGCGAGGCCCTCCAGGATGACCGCTCGCGCTCTCTGCAGGCATCGTCGTCTCCTCCGCAGCCGGCCCCTCCGACGGCACCAGCTCCGACAGCTGCCTGACCTTCTCCGCCGGCAGCGGCCCTGCGATGTTCGGCGGGTGCCTGGCTGCCCAGGGGCTGGTGGGCACCTGCTCCCCACTTAGACTGGCCTCGCCACTCCTAGGGGCTCAGTCCGCAACCCCGGTGCTGCAGGCACAGGGGGCTCTGGGTGCAGCTACCCTGCTCCCCGTCAGCTTTCAGGAAGGACGGAGGGCGTCAGACACGTCGCTCACGCAAGGTGACTTCCTGGGCCCGGGCCCCACTCCCGCCCCAGAGACACTGTCCCCAGAAGGGTGTGACCCCCGGTGCTCTGCCCCCCTCCCCCAGCAGCATGCTCCCAGGCGGTGCTCCCAAAGGTGCCTCGGCTTCCAGCCCTCTGGGGAGCAGGGGCTTGTGTGCCCTGAGCTGGTCTAAAAGCCTTGCACTGGCGGCAGCTCCAGGAAGGGCAGGGGCCGGGAGGGACCCTTGGCACAAGCAGCCACACTGCCTGCTGGGCGGGGGAGGTGTGGGGGTGCCGTCAGTGCCCAGAGGGCCCAGGGCCTGGACAGGGCAGGCCCGTCTCCCGGCTCGTCTGCGGCTTGTCCTTCCTTACCGCGCTCCAAGGAGGGGAACCCCCAGGCGCCGCAGCCAGTGCTCTGGGCTGGGAAGAGGCCCTGGGTCATCCTGGCTTTGTCTCCCCCAGGCCTGAAAGCCTTCCGGCAGCAGCTGAGGAAGAATGCCAGGGCCAAAGGGTTTCTGGGGCTGAACAAGATCAAGGGGCTGGCCCGCCAGGTGTGCCAGCCCTCCTCCTCCAGCCGGGCCACCAGAGCCGGCCTGAGCCCCTTGCAGCTGCCCGCCCCGAGCCCAGGCCTGGCCGGAGGTGGGGCTGGCGGCCGAGAGGGCAGGAGCCTGCTGGAAGAGGTCCTGCACCAACAGAGGTACGCCCGCCCAGCCCCACCCCGAGGCTACTTGCGCATGGGGTGCTCTTAGGTGGCCTCCGCCCAGCGGCCCCCCTTAATCAGACTAGTGCGCCCTCTGTCCTAGGCACAGGGGAGCTGCCAGGCCTGGGGCTGGTTCCCATCGGCGGGTGGGAGCAGCCAGGCTGCTGCTCTGCAGCGGGGAGTGGGGCGGGGTGCCGTGAGTAAGAATGTCACGTCTGGTCGGCATCTCTGAGCTGCTCCGAGCACGAGGCTGGGCATGGAAATGTCAGGACTTGCTCAGGGGATTAGTCACATCATCCCCACTCCTGAGGCCCTGCAGGGCGGGCTGGACTCGGGGGCTGGCTCGGGGGTCTGCAGAGCCCACTGACCGGTGGTGCCCTCCCTTCACAGGCTGCTCCAGCTCCAGCACCACCCTAGCACCCTACCTGGCTGCCAGCCGGCCCCGCTGGCCCTTGTGCCCGCCGACGGCGCCCGGGCGCCCTCGCTCCCCAGTACCCTCCTCGTATCCGGACTGCAGAAGGGGCTGGGGCCTGGCCCGCTGCCACCACCCCCCGTCCTCCAGGCCGGCGTCTCCCCGGTGGCATCGGCCGCCCAGCTCCTGGACGCCCACCTGCGCATCAGCCCGCGCGCCGCCCCGCTGCCCGCCGCCCCGGCCCTACCGCCGCACTTCGCCATGCTGCGCCCCGGCCTGGAGCCGGCGGGGCTGCCTCAGGGGGACTGCGAGATGGAGGACCTGACCGCCAGCCGGCGGGGCACCTTCGTCCTGGTGCAGTGAGGGCCGGCAGCGACTCTTCAAAGCAATAATTTCAGAGGACGTGAAGACGTTTCGGGACTGGAAGCCGGCGGCTCTGGAAGCAGATCAAGCAATACGTTTGGTGTTTGGCTTTTGGTTTATTTTCTGTTTTACTGGTTTTCTTGCACTGAACAGCTGCAGCTCTGAGGAGGGTGGAAACTGGTGACGGGGTCACTGAGGGAGTTGGGGGGTGCGGGGCGGGGCAGGGCAGGCGGGGCGGGGGGGCAGGTGAGGGCCGGGCTGGGCTCCTGGCTTCTGCCAGCCCTTCGTGCGCGGGTGCGGGAACCCGTTGGGGCTCCCAGAGGGTGGCCGGGGTGGGTGCTGCTGAGCCGCGGGGCTGGTGGCTGGGGAGTGCGTGGGCCACGGCGAGTGTGTTGGCACCTTTTTTAAGTTCGTGCTCCATTTCCTGAAACACTTGGGCTTCAGGGGAAGCTGCGAACTCCGCTCTATGGACGTCGTTAAAGCCCCCGCGGCCTTTTAAAGAGAAGGTGGCCCGCAGCTTCTTGGCGTCCCCCGTCAGGCGTGGAGGACGTTTCTCCCACTCCTGGAGGGGGGTCCGGTGGCCCCCAGGCTGGGGAGGAGCCCGCAGGGTGAGGTGCCGCCGGCGGGTTCCTTCCTGCTCGGCCGCCGCGCCTCGGTTTTCGCGAGATTGAGATCAGGGTCCCGGAGAGCCGCCGACTGAGGGCCGCGCCGTCCGGGGGCCGCGCGCCGGGGCTTGTGGTCCAGCGCTGCTCCCGTCCCACGCAGACACTGTATGTATATAGACAGATAACACTACTTATTTTTTATATTTTTTACTACACGTTGTGTTCCGGGTGAAGCCGCCCCGCTGGCCGCGCCACGGCGCTTGCTCGCCGGGCCTGGTGGAGGCGGAGGCGCGGCCTCACCTGGCCCGGAAACTCAGGTGGCGGCCGGGCCCGCGGAAGCCTCTCGCGAGTGGGAGCGGGGCCTGGCCGCGCCCAGCCGTCCCGCCACCACCCCAGGTGCCTTCAGCCCGCCGGCCGCCCGCCCCCAGTATTAACACGCAGAGGCGGCGGCATGGGCAGCGGCCTCTGTCGAAGCCAAAGAGCGCCCGGGCCCGAGGGGAGGGCTGGCGGCGCGCCCGGCCCGGGGGGCGCGTCTCCTCACACCTGCTGCTGCCCGCACGGCCGGAGGGCGGAGGCGGCGGGTCTGGCCGGGGCCCGGCTCCTGCGCTGGCAGCGGGCGCGCTGCCCTCCCGGCGCCCGCGGCCTCTCCTGACAAGCACTTTACTCTCCCAGCGGGCTCTCCTCGCGCTGCTCTCCTGTCTGTCGGCCCCAGCGTGTGCGTGTGCGAGGCGTGTGTGTGCGAGGCGTGTGCGTGTGCGCCGTGGTTGCGCCGTGGCTTCTCCATTGCCTGCGCCGGGCGGCCTGTTCAAAGCGCGGCGGGGTCCGGTGAAGACGTGGTTGTTTTTTTTTTACCACACACACCTGAATTACCTTGTTTCTTATGTTACCATGAGAAATGTCTGCCAAATTAGTGGATGTATGTTTTTTAATTTAATATTTAAATAAAATATTTGGGGAAAAAACCTGTGTTCCAGCCTGAGTTCCTCTGTGGGGGCTGCCGCAGCGGGAGGCCCCATCCCCTGGGCTTGGGGGTCTCAGATCTTAGGGAGAGCGTCTGGAGCCCAGGGCTGGGCTGAGAGGAGCCCCTGTAGGCTCCCAGGGGCCAGAGGCCAGGCGGAGGCCCTGGGCTGGGGGGGAGCAGCACCTGCTGGCGTCTACGGCCTCACACCCTGGCCGGTCTTCCCCTTCCGGCGGTCACTCACTTTTGCTCTGGGGTCCAAGCATCCGGAACCCACTTCTGCTCAGGAGTTGGGAGGAACCCACCGCCCAGCAGCGTCTTGGCCTCCTGGGGCTGACCTCCCCCTTCCAGCCTCAGGGCAGCTGCAGCTGCTTCCGAGAAGGACGGATTCTCTTCACTTTACCACCTGGCAAATGTGTTTTGGCTACTCAACCTCTTCGCCCCCACACATCCGGCCTGGGGCAGGGGAAGCAGGGCAGCCTGCGGGGAAGCTCCTGGGAGCTCTCCAGAGTCACGTGCCCCCATCACCCGCTCTGGGCAGACACCAGGTACCTGTGCCCACAGCAGCCGTGGTGGATGCCCCCCAGCGTCTGGGGCAGTGGACACGCGGCACACAGGCCCCCGGGGGAGCGCCCGGCTCAGAGGAGTCTCCCCACCCCGCGCCGGGTGCCCACGACCTGTGCTGGGACTCGCCTCACCAGGAAACACGCCTGCACCTCGTGGAGGCCCTGGCCATGGGCCCCAGATGCAGGGAACGGGGGTGCTGGGGGTTGGATGCAGTTTCAGTTTCATGGGATGGAGAGAGGTCTGGGGCGTGGGGTGGGGGTGCACTGCGGCGTGGGTGGCTGGGTGCCCCGGGCAGACAAGGAGAAGTGGCCACGGCAGTGACCTTGCCGTGTGCATCTCATCACCACATGAGGGAAGGGCTCTGGGCACTCCTGCCCGGGGACAGCAGCCGCTGAAGAAGAGCCAGCGGGGGTCAGGGCACAGGCCAGGGGCTGGAGGGAGAGGCCCGGGACCCCAAAGATGCCTTCAGGGCCTGGACTTGACGGCCTCAAGGTCACCACAGCACAGCGCCCACAAGGCCTAGAGGCAGGCGGGTCCTCACTGTGGGGGCGGGGCCCAGCCAAGGTCGCCCCGGCCTCTGCTTGTGCGGGCGCCCCGGGGGATCCCCACGTGGCTCAAAGGGTGCTGAACCGGGAGGCCAGCGGGGCCAGAAGGCGCATGGGCCAGGCCCAGTATGGGCACCGCCCTGTCACTGGGGTCACTGAGTCCATGGGGGTCTCCATGAAGGGTGTGGACAGAGGAGGCCTGTGCCTCTGCCGGAGTGGAGGCAACGTCAGGACCACGGGGGTCAGCTGAAGACGACATGCAGAGGCCAGGCCTGGTCCCTGCCCGGGCAGAGACGAGTGACGAGCAAGGGGCTGTCATCGGTCGCGCCCGTCTGGGGCCAGGGCCAGCAGGGAGGGTGGCGGCTGCACACCGGTCCAGGGGTGGCCTCTGCCACCGCCGCCCGTGCCCCACGGGGAAGCGTTTCAGAAATGTGGAGCCAGACGGGCCGGAGACGCCCAGGGGGAGGCCGCAGACTCAGCATGGGCAGCCACGGCGGGAGCCCGGTGCCTCCACGGGGCATCTTTCCATGAAATGACCTCATCGATTTCATATTGTTCTTTGGAAATACATACAATTAATTTTACCTCAGTGAGGCTGAAAAAGGAAAAGCACGTTTATAGCCAGAATCTTATTTTGCTGTTTTACCCCAAACCCGTGTTCGCTCCCTGTGCGGAGCCCTCCCTGGCGACCCCGGCCTCGCTCTGGCCTGTTTAGCGGCTCGTCCCTCAGGCCTGGCCTGCTCCTGGCATGGACGCGTGTGCCTGGCTCCGGCTGGCTGGCTCTGCGCAGGCCACCCACGTGCCGGCCACCGGGCTGCAAGTAATAACACGCGGCCCCTCCTCATGGCCTCGCAGCCTCCCGGGGGCAGCCGCGGCCTTTGGTCCAGGCATCCTTCAGAGCGTCTGGCGGGCACTGGCCGGCACTCCAGCCAACGGCCCCGCTCGACGCGGGGCAGCCACCCAGACGGTCGCACTGGCCGTGCAGGCCTCCAGAGCAGACCCTCCTGCAGACTCTGCAGACAGAGCGAGGCCCAATGCGGGTATGTGTGCACGCGGCCGCTAGGCCTGGCTCCTGTGCGTCTGCGGCTGGCACGAGGCTGGAGGCCATGCCCAGCGTCTGCGGCGCAGTAGGGGCTGGTGACCCAGCGGCCGGTGTCGGCCTGTGACACCATCAGGTGCCCAGCGCTGGGTGTTTCTGGGCATCTGCCGGGGCGCTGGGGAGACGGGGTCACATTAGTCCACAGGAGCCCACAGCAGTGGTGACCCCGGGAGCAGTGACCTTGGAGGAGAGCCGGGGCCAGCACCGCCCTCCCTCCAGGCAGAGGGACACAGGTTTACGGCAAACTGGGCTCCACTGCCTGAGTTTGTCTTCAAACATGATGCCAAAGACCCGGCCGAGGGCCCTGTGGGTGGGGCCAGCCGGGTGGGGCTACTCACGGGGGCTCCTGGCCTCGGCGCATGGCGGTGCCCCTGGTCCCTGGCCGGCCGTGCCCAGCGGGTGAGCTCACCCCCGCGGCTGTGCTGCAGATACGGCCCCTGCAGGGCACGGGCATCTCCTTGCTTGTCTCAGGGAACGACTCATTGCCAAGGCAGAGCCCCCGCGGCCCTACTGACCTCCCTCTGCCCAGGCCCTCTGGGCTGCAGGCTGTGGCTGGACCCCAGGTCCCAGCGCCGGCGGCAGGGGGGATTGGCCTGGGGCAGCCGTGGCCGAGGTGCCGCTCCTGCTCAGGAGCCCACACTGCCAGGTGCCTGGATGCTTCCAGAAGGGCCCCTGCGGGAGCTCCCCAGCCCCAGCTGCCCCTCCAGCTCCCGCTGTGCCCCGAGGCTGGGGTGGACAGGACGGGCCGGGTAACCAGACAACACAGGAAGCAGCTCCTGGCTCCTTCCCTGCCCAGGGGGCCGGCGTGGGAGGCGGGAGGCGGGGAGATGGGGCCGGGCGTCCCCGCGGGGCTTTCAGGACGACTCATGCGTGAAGGGCTTCCTCCCGCCCTCCCCACACTCCAGGTGAGACACCTGCGGGCTTGACCTTGGGCGAGGACGCGGGTGACGTGTGCGGGCAGGCAGGGCCACACGCAGGCGGGCTCTCCCCGGGGGCCGGCCTGGCCGGCCTCTGCGGCTCCGCCCCCCTTGCCGGGTGGCCAGGGCAGGTGCTGCCAGGCCCCGAGGCCCCCCAAAGTTCAAGGACACGCAGGGGTGGGGTCGGCCGTGCCCGGCCCCGCGGGGTGTAAACACACGCCCTCCGCGAGGGACAGAGGCTGTCCAGGCCCGGGCAGCTGGCAGGGCCGGCCTCTCAGTGCCGACTGGGAGCCCCAGGCTGCTGTGGGGTGCTGCCCAGAGGCTCTGAGGCTCTGCCTGCGAGTTGGGGGTGGGGCAAAGGTGGGAGGGGAGCCCCTCGCTGCTGAAGAGGGGCTGGGAGGGGTGCGGTGGGAAGCAAGGCAGAGCGAGGGGTCTCCTCCCTCACCCGCAGGGGCCTCCCCGCGACCCGCACCCACGCTCTGCGGCTCTCCCCTTCCCGGGCCCCCTT